AAAACTGTAAACCAGAGGATATAAATTGGTCATTGTGGTTATACGTGTCACAATACCATCCTCAAAAGCAACTGCTTTTTTTAGCTAAGTTTTCTCTTTAGTAAAATTGTCTTGGTAGCTGCTTTTGCATTTCATCAACCTCTTATAATGCAACGAACGTGTTGATAACGTCAATTCATTATATAGTTTATCATTTTGAAGACATATATTGACTCGTAGTATGACAATTTCTCAATCCTTATCCTGTAATCTAGAACTGAATATGACAGATGATAGATCTGTCTGCCAATGATAGCATGACAAAGTGCACGAAGAAGCATCACATTGCAACTGGTATGGTACAATATATGTATAGGGCACATTGCAATACACTTTGTATATATATATATATATATAACCGTACATCGTGTGTCACAAGTGCAGGAGTCACTATTGTACTATGGTGATAGCCGGGAGGGCATATTGTATATACACTTTGTATTTTTAGCATGATTAATATACTAACTTCCGTCATCTTGTATATATATTTTAAGCATTTAAGTATTTATTCATTAAATCCCCTGAAGAGTGAGCAATCACGCAACTGGCTTGTCGGGATGAATCTGTAGTTTTCGTAATTTTTTTCAACATCACTAAATATCTATATATATATGAAGTCGGAGATGTAAAGTGGGTTAAAATGTAGAATTTGAGACTTAATGGCTTTGTTTTTCGTTTTGATTATAAACTACTGCACAACTGCGATTCGCAAAACAATGGCGTAATAAATGCGCACTCTTACAAACAGTTTTTTAGCATTTTCGGATGCTACGGCCTACTGGTATTAGTGCTATATGGACTTCATAGTGTCTAAAATATTTTCACTGACACCTGCGCTCTTTGTGTGGAATGGCAATTCCTCATTAAGTACGTCTTAAGGTTTCATATTGTACTGCAGACAAGTAGAAGATACGGAATGGCTGATCTGCTTTGTTCAAATGCTTTAAATGTCGGAATAACACCATGTTATCATCTAATTCAGTCCTATGAAAGTGCATTTAAGACTAACGCGGAGTCTTAAACACTTAACGAGAAGAAAATCTGACGCATATGGTTTATCACTCCAACTGTTTAGCTTCTGGTAGTCATGCAAAAAGAACCAATTGCTAAGGCATGCGATAGTGAAGATGAAGTGAATTGAACCGCTTTCTTTTGGTTCACTTTATTTTTTTGCAGCATTTTTATAATACACAAACAGCATGAAGTCCAGGTCAGTCGCATAGTTTCCAGATGAAAAGGTGAAACATCCACAACTTTCCTTATTCCCAATTTTTTTGGAGGAATTAGTGATTAGAAAAGGTTTTCATAATTGCATGACATTTAGAAACTTATTCTATTATGGCGTTTCTTAGTTGTAAAAATATATATGAAAAAGTAAAAATCTTATTTTACTATAATATTCTATAATATATGTTACTATAATATTCATTTAACAGTGATTACAGGTCCAAAAACAGGTCTTTGCCCTTGATGATCAATATTGTGTAATACAGCCAGAAACACGGAGGTTGCCAGAGTAAAACATGCGAATATAGGTGTAGTCATTTTTTTTTAAAATTACATAATTAGAAATGAAAACTAGCACAATTATAATATCCATGAGGCACAAGCAGTGGCGTAACTAGAACTTTAATTGGGGGTTGCATATTCATATATTCTGTTGTGCCCTACTGATTTCTTTTTAAAGTAATTTGAATTTGAGACAATTTTACTTTATTTTACATTGGAGCGTCACTTACGACATCATTTTTGTTTTCTTTTTGATATTTTACTCTTTTCACACTGCTGGTAAAAAGTCCTTTACAATGGAGCGTGACTTACGACATCATTTTGTTTTTCATCTGAGTGGAACTTTCTTTTTTCTTCTATTTAAAACTTGTTTTGTATCTTTGAATAGTTGCTCAATCATATTTCAAAAAAATTTGAAAAAAAGTTTTCATTGGCTGTTTCGTTATATAACCCCATGATATGGGAATCATTTTCCAAACTTTTCATAATGGAGCCTCTAAAAATCACTTTATTATCCTTTGGTAAAACTTTCCTTTTTATTCATTCTAGGCATGTATAACTGCCGGGAAGAGAAATTTTACACTGGGTTTTCAATGTAACCATGCTTTAGATAATTTTTCCTGTAAACTAATCAAATCATGCTAACCTGTACTACGTTTTGACCAAAATGTCAAAATGAGATATGCCACTGCAATAAACTTTTGTTGTATATCAAAGTACTGCAACTTAAAAAGGCATTTCCAAACCAGATATTTCACAAATTAAAATATTTAGCACAAAAATATTTCTTCCCACCCAATATAAGCTTCAATAAATCCGGGATTATGTTACCAGCAAGATACTCGAACAATCATCTAGTAAGCATCAATGATATAAATGTATATATCTTTACTGTCAAACGTACGATTCTAAACAACAAAGTGTATAGATATTAAACATATTTTAATTGACAAGGAGGTCTAAAGCCATAATTATCGTTACCTCGTATTTTAGCGACTAAATATACAAGGACTTCAGTTAAGGCTACAACTACAGCGGATGGGTGTCTGTTCATATATTCAGTTGTACCCGACTGATTTCTATAGAAAGCCAAATTACTTTAAAAATCATTCGTGCACAAATGCTTCCCAATTAAAATTTTGTCTTCGGGCCTGCCGCCCTGGGTAAATATGATCCAAAATACAGATAACGGTTTCTTAGGAAAGTGTTTCCTATGTTTTGATTTCCAGCCTCGTTAAAATTGGTAAAGTATTGTCATACCAATTTTGCTATCGCCTTTTAGTGCTTTCATACCGGTTTTGCTTGGGCCTTGGAGAACAATGACCGCCATAAATGCATGCTGTTGAGGGTTGAAATAAATTGCACTGGTGTAAATAAATAGAAGAGAGGGCAGGCCTATGTGTTTACTGAGAGGTAAGAAGAAATACAAGATTTTTGAACTGATAACTATAATATAATGATAGGTTTATGTTAGGAAAACGTTTTGGCATGGACATCTCGTGAGCAGAAGAGATCAGATATAAAACTTGAAAGGCTTGAAATGGGAAACATAAAACTATGTGGGGTGTGTATTTTGAAGTCGTTAAGAGGAGCTTAGAAATTTAAGACTTTCTTAAAGGGGAGAGTTTTGCTATAACCGTATTTTAAATATCCAAAACAATTCAAAGAGATTCATGTGTTTAAAGTTGAGAATTCAAGGTACTGCGTATCATCACAAAAATATGGTTATGCTCTTTAAGTAAGATGTAAATTAGACAATAAGAATAAATCAAGAATTGAGGTAGATGTAGTACTCGGTACACTTGTAGATTACTAATAAGAAGATAATGAACAAATTTCAAACCGAGGACACAAACATACAAAAATAATTGTAAGAAGCAGGTATACATACCACTAAAGAGAGATGGAAGAATGCGCTAGAAATAGACTAATGAATATTACCTCAAAAAAAAGAAAGATTAAATGTTTTATCAAGTGATATCCCACAGAGGTAATGATAGAGATATCCAACAGGGTAAATGAGGTTACAAGAAGCAAAGAAAGATAAAGTAGATGATAAAGACAGTAGAGGGTAATGTTGATTTGGAAATTAGTATTATAGAGTACATATAAAAGAAGTAAACAAATGTGTTCAAGATAGTTTGATGTAATCAATGAACAACAATGGCAATGAACAACAAAAATAATTGCACAAATTATTGATACACTGAAAAAAGATTTTTGTTCCTTTTTCAAGATATAGGGAATCGAGCATGCATGAAAGAAATGAAGGTTTGTAACATTTACTAAAACAGTTAAGATAATAGCTTTTGAACGTTAAGCTTTAAATACCATAAAACATGAAAATACAAAAATTTGAGCAATAAAAGTTCAGTCCTCAGTTTTGTATTGATTCAACTCTGAGGGGGTTGAACTTCCTGGATCACAATTCGAGAGACTGAATTCCATCCACTGGCGGCGTCTGCATTGGAATATCTCTGACAATCACCGACATAGAATCCAACATTAACAATACCCTTATCGATGTTGCCACAATATCCCTCTATCTGACGATGACGATGAATATTCTGTGTTCCTTTACCTTTCCATATGTAATAAACACCTTCAATTGTAGGATTACATTCTGTTCCATTGAATTTGAAATACTATCGCTTGCAACACGCGTCGCAGTCGTAAACACGAAGGTTGCCGGCGTAGAACACGCGAAGATAAGTATTGTCACGTTTTTTCTTAAAACTGCATGACTAGAATACATCAAGCAAGCAGAAATAGTTATGTTTATTGTAAGCACGCATGCATGAAGTTCAACTACTAAAGCACTCCCAGTAATGAAATACATCTGGTTGAGGGAAATGCTGCGTATTCTGTTGGACGTGCGAGATAACAGGTTTTATAGAAAACTTTTGGGGACAGCGCATGAAAGAGCCGGTCTAATTACACTCGAGAAACCGGGTTATAACAATATCAAAGTTGTAAACGGCTATATTTTTCCTTTAACGTTCTCGACAGGAATTTAAGCGATGAATTTATATTACACTAGTATGACATACTTCAAGATTTGATCAATAAAAATTTATAAATAAAGACTTTATTAAATTCTTGTTCATTTCTAAGATTCTTCAATCACATTTACTCAAACATCTACCTATATACAAGAACAAATACAACACAGTTTAACTCTTAAAGGAAAACAACATAAACTATGACAAATAACAAAGCAAAGTAACTTAAACTAGGACAAATTAGCACACCTATGGCGCAAAATTTTTAGTTATTGTGGGCTCACATTTACATAAATGATTATTTGGTTTTCCTTTAGATAAAAGTAAATAGGTAGGCTAGCTAAGAGAGAAGCAAAATTAAAATTTTATAGAATAAAAATTACATTTTCAAGGGTCTTCATTGTTTACTAAATGTTCATCTGTTTTTCTAATAATGATACAAGTATTTACCTTTATAAGTCCATTATCAAGATCATTAGTTTCTTCCCATGTACATTGCTTCCAGTTGGATTCAATATTATTTCCTGGAGCACCTACTTTACCAGCCTCACCTTTTTTACCCTTTGCACCAGTCCTTCCCACCCCACCTTGGATTCCTTTGTCCCGTTTTGGCCCCGATGGACCTAGCTTTCCTGGCTTTCCATCACTTCCACTACATCCTTTGGCTCCCGGCACCCCATTATGACCTGGAACTCCAGGTACACCAGGCACACCAGGTACACCAGGAACTCCAGGTGAATCACAACTAGAATTGCATACATTTGGTTTCTCGGGAAGACGTCTTGGTACTCGTATTTTCTGAGAAAAGTTTATGAATGAGCATGGTATAAGTTTACTTGCATATGCGTAAGCACATATTTTAAGCTACCAAAACCGACGTTCTTTTGATGAAATGTGTTTGTTATGTGTTGCTGTATCGGTAGTTGCCGATCTAGGGTAGGTCAAAATAGATTACTGCAGCACATTTTGGAATATATTTACATTTCCAAGCCCCTTAGAGACAAGATAATCGCTAAAATTTATTCTTTCGAAGTTTAAAACTAATAGCGTTTTCCTGAAAGTACTTTGAATTCAAAATTAAGCAGCTATAATTTATTTTGACTAACGCTGGATCAGCTATTGCTATATCGTACTAAATATCTTATAAAAAGTTGGTCAAAATACCTTGTGGACTTTATTTTTAGATTTATATAAAAATGAACAATACATACTGTTATGTGTTACCTACACAACGTGGACAATCAGAGGCATAGGTTAAAGTTGAGTGAGGGTTTAGAATAGTCCAAAAGTTAAAATAAGTACCTTGAGTAACATACATTATTGCAAAGGACGCTGTTTACATCAGAAATGAAGGAAAACTCAAAAACGTTTTTTAAAAATCGATAGATAATCTGTACGTCTTCAATCACAGAATTACGAACTGCATATTTTTCTAATCGTCAGTTATTTTCATTTTTAAATAAAACATATTTTACAAACCTCTAGGCATACTACATTTTGTAACTTACAACATTTAACTGTGTCATCTATGAGTGTGCTTGGCGTGTTGTAAGCTGTGCTATATTTGAAATAATCCTGTCAATGTGATACGAATTTTTCATGGAAAACGAAAAACTTTGTGTGCGTTTGAGAGCTTAGCGCCAACATAATTTAGCTACTAAGAAGCATTACGCTTCTATTTTCAAAAAAATATATAGCCATGATTTATGTATTTAAAGCTGGAGTTCAGTAAATAATAAATGTTCATGACACTGGCATTGCACGCAGTAGTTTACTTTAGTTTCGACGAATATATAAAACTTAGAAGTGAATCTTCCGATGCAAAAGACATATTTTTGAACAAATGAAACTTAAAATTGCATATGCATTTCCCTTGCAATCTCTTCAAATTAAAGTCAGTTTTAGACGACCTATATGTGCGTACGAAACGCCTGTATACATATTGAGAGTATTTCTATTTAGGATTTATATAAGAGAGCTCTTATACAATTGGAGGCAACAATAGCAAAAACATGCACCACAAACCGATGATTTTTGTGGTGGTGCATACTTTTTAAACAGGTTATTCTTAACTCATGGGACTTACATTGAATTATTTTGATATGCCCTGTGATAAATTGAAGAATGCAGCCTAACCTATTGATATCTACCATGATATCATCAACTTTGTCGTTAGATTCAACTAGGTGCATACTCAAAGCAATAACATAACATAATGCTATCGGTGTAGACTTCATCATTTATAAAAAGGACAATAAATTCTTTTTGTCATGCCTGTGTAATCTTTACTTTTTAAGCAGTACGCTAAGTGTCAGCAAGGTTAGATCAAGCTCTCTCAGCAACCTTAGATCAAGCTCTTTCAGCAATTTTGTCCAATGTTCAACTGATCGATTGTTAAGGAGTGTTTTCATTTTGTATAATATATTTTGGAAACTTTAAGTGTAATCACAACACCTTAAGAGACACTTAGACTTGCACATCCGATTGTTTCGAGTGTACTCGAGAATGCAAATTTAGATGTGATTTATCATCTCTTTACACACCCTTATTGAAATTATCTATGAAAATATATCATCCCCTTATTGAACTTATATACATTAAATCCCTTGAAGAGTGAAAAATCACGAAACAAGCTTGTCGTGATGAGTCTGTAGTTTTCGTGATTTTTTCAACATCACTACATATCTATATATATATATATATATACAAAGTGCATATACAATGTGCCTTATAATCACTTAAAATCCGGAGAAACTTTTATCTTTTATGTATTAAATGCCTGGATTACAAAATTTCAAACTTATATGTATAATAATATTAAGGATTCTCTGAAATTTTATTTTGAAATTTTTTTATTAAGCTTTCAACTCGGTGCTTCGAGCCTTCGTCAGAATGTAAGAATATATTATTTACAAAGATTTTGTAGGCGTTTGGAGCGTTTGATTGGTTGGTTAGTAGTTAAGTAATATTATTGGATGGTATAAGATGCGTTGTCATGGTTACAGGTGTATGAATTGCGTTAATGAAATTCGAGTGTTTATTTTAGTCGTTGTTATATTAGTTTGTTGTTTTAGTTTTGTCTTTAGTTGTGAATAAATGATGGGGATGTCAATATGTCTGTTTATTGTGTTGTTGTCTTTGCTGTACCATGCCTCTTGGAATTCTTGTGCGTGTTTTGTCTGTGCGCGTCCAAGAAGTTGTGTTTTTGTCCAGTCAAATGTGTGGTTGGTATCGTAGGTATGTTCTGCTGGTAGTGATTTTGGGTCGCGTCGTTTGATGGCATTCTTGTGTTCAGTGAGTCTTGTTTCAATTTTCTTGAATGTTTGTCCTATGTACTGTTTGGGGCAATCTTTACACGGTATCATGTAGATCACGTTGGTTGTGTCGAATGTCGTTGTTCGGTCTTTATGTTTAGTGAAGTATGATTTGAGTTTGTGTGTTGGTTTATTTGCGATGTTTATTTTGAATGGTCGGAGTAGTCTTGATGTCATTTCTGATGTTCCGTTTATATATGGTATTGTCACTATTTTTACTGGTTCGTCTGTATCTTCGTTAGGTTTTTCAGTTTGTGGTTTGTTGTGTATTTTGTTTAATACTTTGTTGATAAAGTTTCGTGGGTAATTGTTGTTCATGAATGTAGAGTATAAGTAGTTGCGTTCATTCTTCTTGGCTTCTTCTGTATTGCAGTGTGTTTTAATCCTGTTAAAGAGAGTTCGTATGCAACTAACTTTGTGTAGTGTTGGGTGATTGCTATTAAAGTTGAGTATTTGGTCTGTGTGTGTATTTTTGCGGAATACTTGTGTGTTTAATGTGCCGTCATATGATCTGGTAAGTAGAATATCTAGAAAGGTAAGTTGTTTGTTCTGTTCTTTGTCCATGATGAAGGTTATGTTCTGTGTGGTGTTGTTTATTGTGTGTAGAATGTGTTCTGTTTTGTCTTTTTCGACGATAGCAAAGATGTCGTCAACAAATCTTCTCCATAGTCTGATATGTGTGTTGCTGGTGACTGACTGCTTTTCAAGGTGTTGCATAACAGCTTCTGCGAGGAAGGTGGATAAAAGAGAACCCATTGGTGTTCCTGGGATTTGTCGGTAATATGAATTTTGGAATGAGAATTCATTGGAGAGGCAGAGCTCGAGCAGGTCGATGATATCGTTTTGGTCTAGTTCAGTTGTGATTTTCCAAGAGTTGTTATTAAAAAGTAGTTCGTTTGTGACTTGTTTGGCTATGTTTAGTGGTATGGATGTGAAAACTGATACTACATCGTAAGATATCATGATTTCGTTTGGTTTAAGTTTTACATTTTTGATATTGGTGAGGAAAGTTGTGGCATTTTTGATAGTATGATGTGATGATTTGACTAGTGGGTGCAGAATATTAGAAAGATATTTTGATAGTTCATACGTAGGAGATCCAGGAAGAGATACAATTGGTCGTGGCGGGTTGTTTTCTTTGTGAATCTTTGATAGTCCATAGAATTTGGCGGTGGAGGAGTCGTTGTGTCGGATTCTTTTGTAGACGGTATAATATGTGTATAAAAATGAAAGTTTCTCCGGATTGTATAATTGTTAGCAATCTTAGATCAAGCTCTTTCAGCAACCTTAGATCAAGCTCTCTCAGCAACCTTAGATCAAGCTCTCTCAGCAACTTTAGATCAAGCTCTTTCAGTGACCTTAGATTAAGCTCTTTCAGCAATTTTGTCCAATGTTCAACTGATCGACTGTTAAGGAGTGTTTTCATTTTGTATAATATATGATGGAACCTTTAAGCGTAATCACAACTCCTCAAGAGACACTTAAGGCGGATCTCCACTAGACGATTTTTATGACAATCGTCGTAAAAATTCGCTGCGCCACATGCGCAGTACGAATTAAAAATCGTGAAAAAAATCGTCAAGCGCTTTAGGAAAAGTAGAAACTGTTTCTATTTTTCGTCGAGCGCTTGACGATTATGTTAACGATTTTTTTTCGATTTTCAATATGGCGACGAACGAGATCAATGAAAATATAATTGGTGAACTTCATCGTGAAGAAGAACAGCAATCTAATGCTACACCGAATAGCAATGCAGTGTTTGACAAGGAATTGTTTTTGCAAGCCCTTCGCGAATTTAATGTTTATGGGATACAAACGATTCAAACTATAAGAACAGGACAATGAAAGGGAACGCATGGAATGCATTATCGCAAATGTTTTCTCAAGAAAGTACGATTACATTTCTAGCTGCTAACAAAGAAATTCAATTAATTTATGTGACTTATAAATAGAATGTTTGAATGAGGGAGACATATTATGATGTGTTTACTACCAGTGAATAATTGCTAAAGACATATTCTACTCTCGCATATGCCATAATAACAATATTTACTATAAGATATATTACAAAGTTGAAAGTTCACGCAGGAAATCTTTGTGTAGGCTACATGGTGTGCGATATGGCAAGTTGCTTAATAGCACTTTTTTGTGGATGATTTTATTTTGCTTTTATAGATATATTGGAAAGCAATTTTTTTTCACATTTAGTTCATTACCTCCAAAAGATATTCAAGAATTTAAAGGATTTTCTAAAGAAATGTCTTGATAAAAGAAAAGCAATGTCAAGATCTGGAGCAGCAGCATCAACCCACCCAATTTGTAAAAATTTTGAAATCATGAGGTTTTTGCATGATAAAACCAGCAATCTTGAAACACACAGCAACATAGAGTTGTTAAATTTGGATTCAGAAATCATTGCATCTCAAGAAGAAACTCCTGCAACCATATCGTCTCCTGTTCCAATACATTCTCCTTTACCAATTCCCTCACCAGCACCATCAAGCTTCTCAAGCACTGTTATATCTGACGACAGTGTCAGAAAGAGTGTTAAAAGAAAGAGGAGTAAAAATGAAGAACAGTATCCTCTACTGGACCATATAAAGAATACCGATGAAAAAATGCTTAGTTTTATTGACAAAATCAAAGACAAAGATCATGAAAAAGATGAAGCAGCCTTGTTTTGTGACAGTCTAGTGCCTGTCCTTAGAGATATGGACAAGAAAAAATTAAGATTAGCCAAATTAAAAATTCAGCAGTTGTTATATGAATTAGAATTTGATTGATACTACTTTTTTCTACATAACGTCAATCTAAGAAAACGTGTTCAGTAATTTATAGAATATTTTTGAAAAACATAAAATAGCAAGCCTAATTAAAACATTATCAATTTTCTTGATAACTTCTCGAACGAGTCGAGGTGCAAAATTACTTTCTGATTCAAAAAGCAAGCCGAATTGCCGAGAAAACGAATATTTTGTGAAGTGTTCCGAGCAAACTGCGGAATTCTTTGTGGGGACCCACTTATCTCGAGTAGCTTTCACAAAGTTGACCCATCGCTTTCTCCTACGCTTAGCTTCGCTTCTTTCGTCGTTAAAAAATGCCTTTCTCCGAACTGGCTACGTTAGAACAACCAAAAACTACACATCGATCTGGCATTTTTGTGTTTGTTTACATGCATAAACAGTGTAAGTTGTTTTGGTAGTCAGTCTGTGTTCCTTAAATGACGTCACAAGTAAGTTCCATGCCACGGATTACAGCTCTCGACATTTTTTACAAAACGTTGAAATTCGGGTTTTATTCGCATCTTTGCCGAAAGATAACTCAAAAACGAAAAAAGTTATACAAATTCTGTATTTTTATTATTTATTAAAAATCTATTTAAGAATAAAGACTAAAAATAGTTGTATGTGCACTTTAATAACCCATCAGAAGTTGTGAACGAATCACTGACATAGACAACAAAAAGACAACACTGAAAAGAGCTGTATGTTTATAAAAATCGTAGCAACAATTATGATAAGTATAGCGTATTCAACAACAATTCAGATTCAGCTTGGTTAGAATTAAGCCTGAGGTGGTGGAACTTCTTGGATCACAATTCGAGATACTGTAAGCCATCCACTGTTAGCATCTGCATCGGAAAATCCCGGACAATTACCGACATAGAAACCAACATTGACAGTACCCTTATCGATGTTACCACAATATCCCTCTATCTGGCGATGACGATGGATATTCTGTGTACCTTTACCTTTCCATATGTGATAAGCACCTTCAATTGTGGGATTACATTCTTTTCCATTGAATTTGAAATACCATCGCTTGCAACAGTTGTCGCAGTTGGAAATACGGAGGTCGCCAGCGTAGAACACGCGAAGATAAGTATTGTCACGTTTTTTCTTAAAACTGCATATCTAGAATACATCGAGCAATCAGAATAAGTTATGTACATTGCAAGCACACATGCGTGATTTTCAACTA